AAAACAAATAGAGTGAAAATATGTTGAGAAGGATTTGAATTCTATGTTGCTAAAGAATTGTATAATAGTGAAAGTTATCCTTGATTAAATTCATCTACAAATATTCTAATATTAAAACAAATAGAATGCCGAGTTTAAAACAAATTAACCTACTTTGCTAGTTTAATTACTTATACCTTTGCTTAAAATTTGTTTAAATTCTCTACTGAGTTTTTGTTTTTTTTGGATAACAATCAATCCTAAAGATAAAGTCCACGACAAAAGAGTCAATTGTAGATTACATTAATAATGTCTTCATCTTGCATCAGAAGTGTCAAAAAGAGTCCTTCTTGACCCACCTAATTTACTAATTCAACCCATTAGGCCATCACCGCCACCTCTCCCTCCCACCATTGACCACCAAAACCCATTACTACGACTATGCACACCACCCAACAATCTATTTACCTCATTCCTGTATAAACTCAATGTTAAACCTTTTCACAGGATTTTAGGCGACTCAACAATAAGTTGACACGTGGATAGTTGTAACCGTTATGAATTACAAAGGACATTAGACGAGGACGTCAAAGAATCATGACATGAAAACACCAAGCACCACTTATCGAGCTCAATACTAAAGAAGATATGATTGTTCATTAATGAGAATTTGAGTGAATGTAATATGGTCATTAATGGGTCCCCTTATCTTCGAGACCCACAAAGATATTCATCATTACAAGGTTTTAATTACCATTATGCTAATCCATTGTCCTCGGCAAAGACGCGAGATGCTTTTTCCTGATCAGTAGTTACTCGGGCATAGATGTCAAGCACCGAATAAGGGTGCTTAAATGATCGGAAATGGACAATTAATGCTCGAAGTTTTCCAAGCACGTATTCACTCTCCCAATGAGATAAATTTTGAAGAGATTTGATTAGATTACACTCATTATGCTTAAATATGAGTGCCAACTATTAAATACTAAGATGAAACTCACAGACCCCTTAATCATTACTAGTTCAGGTATAAATATCCTTCAAAGAGTTGAACATAAATATGTAAACTAAATCCAAAGAATACATTGTGTTAATGTCTCCGATACCGACTGACTTAAACTTCAAAGAGAATTAGTCAAGTGTTCGTCTGACTCCTTTCCTAACCTTTTGATTATCTCAAATTCACCATCCAGCGAACCGTTATCTCCACTCATTGCAAGAATTCACCAGTGCACCACCAATTACTCTTCTCCATTCTCAGTGACTACTAAGGCCACTGTGAAACAACCCATTTCCAGTTACTCTCTTCTTCCTCTGTTCATGAGACCAAAACCGTCATTATCAGCTCTGAATTTGCAGTGCCATTAGTGAGGCCCTGATTCTGTTATGATTAGTATGGTGGTTAAGATATTACACTGAAATTTAAATAAAATCCATTACAGTTTATCTCAATCTCACCCATCATGTATGGGGGAGAAACATGCTGATACGAAGTTTGATCTACCATTAAGTGGAAAGCATAATGAAAAAAAATCTCTACCTATGTTAATGATTGTTCATTGGCTTGAGGCATAGTGATGGTGGTCTCTAATGTGTTATGACTAAATCAATCTAGGTATGGTTTATGGTGCTTTTTGAGTTCACCATGCAGAAATATGGAGTTCAAGCAAGTAGAAGTGAACATTTCTGTACCAAATCATTTTGGGCTCAGAACTGATTTCCTTAATGCCAAAGCATTCAGATGCCCCTCAAGATTTGTGACAAAATCAATACACTGGACCTATTTTTTTTTTTATTTCAATACACTGGACCTATATATGGTATTTTACAAGAGAATACTTCCTGATCTTTCAACTCTGCAATTACAAATCAAATCAATGAAATACTTTCCAATCAATTGTACCAAAGTCATAGATAACCTACAAAAATGACCGTTGATTAATAGTACCAACTCAAAACGAAAATAAGGACATAAGCTTAATACATAGACACGCCCTCACCTGGAGTAACTGAATGCATGCACAAACATATGTACCAACCTCACTTTCAATTCTGAGATCTGCAGTGATACCACATTGTCTCTCTGCACGGTTTGAGATAGTATGCAAACCTCCATTCCGACTCACGGACATTTGAGCAATTCATATTCCACCTCGGGCCTCATTCCACAGCTAAGAAAAAGGGTGAATATGAAGAACTGGACAATCCAACAGGAAGAGCTAAGCTTTGCCAATCCACTAGTATAATGGTGGGTGCACTGATAGCTTCATAGCTTCATAATCAAGTTATTCTATTGATTGTCTCAAAGAAAGAGTTCCACTATTCAAAGTAATCTGAATTGTGCAAAGTGATAAAATGTGCATCCTCGGTACTCTTTATCGACTCTCCATCGTACCATGTTACAGTTCCTGCATTGATCAGCCAATACATTTCTTTCAACAGATTTTAAAAATAGGACATTAATGAGCATCTAGACAATACACACCCAATAAGAAGCATTTTCAAGTAGTCATCCATCAAATGATTTAAGAAATTCAGCAACAGTACTTATGTTCAATTGATTCTTATCATCATTTCAGGATACACATAAATTCATGAAGCCTGTAGACAAGGGCTGTCCATAGGCCAGGCCGGGCTTGGTTCATGAATTTTTTTTTTGGGCCGGGATTGGGTAGTATAGGCCCAAGCCCGTACTTATGCGAGTGGCGGGCCGGGCTCGGCTTGGGTAGGGGTAAGCTACCCGCAGCCCAGCCCGTTACCTATTGAGCGGACTTTTTGGGCGGGCTTTTTGAGCGGGCCTGACTGGGCGGACTTTGCGGGCCAGTGTTGGGCGGACTTTGTTGGGCCTGTTAGAAACGAACTATTTTAAGTTATGGTGGTCATTTAATTATAAAAATTGGTTGAACAAATTTAAAAAATTAAGTTGTAATAAGTAATTTAATGTAATATTAAACATATTTGTAGCATTGATAATCGATACAAATAAAATAACTTCTAGTATTACCAATAAACATAACTAAAGAGGATTTATTAAAACTAAAACATAAAATAGAAGAAAATGAAAAGTAAGGGTTTGATAATATTATCCAAATTATATTGAAATAAGACTTATATTAAAAAAAACTCTAGTGCATTTATGCAATTTCATTTCAAAATTCAGAAACTTGTAACCAATTAATGAAAATAGATAGAAATAAATAATAGTAAATTTAATTATTTTAACAATTCATTTTTATCTTTTAAAAGAAAGAATATGAAAGGCTTGACTATGTGTAATATTAATGAAATTTTATTAATATAAATTCCATATTAATAATGTTAGTATTGTGAGAGTCAAGTTGTCCAATTAAAAGTTTAACATCAATCTAGTCTTATTAAAATGAGTTCTAAATTAAATAAGGCTAGTATTGTCTTTATATATTGTGTTTAGGGTTAAAGTAGTTAATCAAAAGTTTTTCTAAATAATATACTTTTATTAGTAACATAGATATAGATATGTATATTATATATATAGTATGTAGGCTTGGGGCTTCGGGTATGTGGGCGGGTATTGGGCCGGATATATGGGTGGGTTATTGGGTCGGGGCTGCGATTTTCGGGCCGGGTAATGAGTTTAGGGGTAAAACCAAACCCTTTCTTAAAGGATATTGGGCTCGGGCGGGCCAACTATCGGGCCTATTTTTTTCGGGCCAGATAACGGGACCCGTGGGTAACCCGGCCCATGAACACCCCCAGGTCAGAGTATGGTGGCAGACACATTTATGTTAAAGCATTGTACCCCTGGACAACTTTCCTATAAGACAATGAATTGCCTTTGCATTGTGCTGCATCCTATAAATATTTGGTCCAATCAACTTTTGGGTTAACGTGGAATACGCAATATATTCTCATACTTCTTCCTTCCATGATTCTTATGGTAGGAATGCATTTAGGACATTGGCACATTACCGTGATGGATGACCACAGAAAAGTTAAATTCTCTTTGTACCTAATGCATTAACTGGTTCCTGTTCTCTCGTTGCATGAAGTATAATTGTCCCTGAAAGTACAGTGATGAATCCACATGTCTCAGAAGCTATGCTGCTTGCATCCTGACCTGACCAATCCTACAAAAAATAGATGTCAACATAGATAATACAGTTAAATTCCCTCGTAATTGTGTGGAACCAGATGCAGCATAAGTGGATGAACCAGGCAATCTACCTTGAACATTATTGCGCTAGCAACAATGGTAAGAGTAGTGAACATCACGTAATATATTGGAGAAACGATAGCCGCATTGAATGTATCCAAAGCCTAGAACAAAGGCACTATTGGCATCAGTGAACATGAAAACGAAAAAACTCATTGATGCTGAGTTTTAGACTACCACAGTTTTGCAAAGGAGTCCAGATAAACCTGTTTTGTATATCAATGTCCCTAAATCTGTACACACAAGTATGGCAAGCCTTTAATCAAGTATAAGCATCTTATAATAGATAGGTATATTATGTGTACACAGTCTAATTCGATCAATGCATGTGACACCCCTAAGAGTGCTTACCCCTTGAGGCATTCACCTCAAATTATTTAAGGTCCAATGTTGTGACCCAAGGTGTTTCCATAGGTTCTTTTGTCAAGGGGTGTCCCAACGCAAACAAAGCAATTTCCGTAGGATATTTCTAACTAACTTGCTCTAGTCAACCCTGAGATCACTAATCTGGGACACTAGCAGCTGGGGCATGGAATGAAAAGAGAGGAAAAAGAAAAGGAAAACCAAAAACTTAAAATCCAGAGTACCATGTTTTGGATGGATCATGGATATTATCATACTCTACATATATCTCGTCTAAGTATCAGTTTAAACTTGTGAAACCTGAAAAGATTTTTCAAAAAGAACAGTACAGTATGTACACAATGCAGAGGATGAATTTCTTACTCCAAGATGATGAAACAAAACCAAAAAAACAAGCCGACCAACAAAATGTACAAGTACTGATCTAACACAGTTACCTTGTTGAGATAATTCAATTGTGTGACAACACAGACAGCTGCAACTGTGAGAAAAAACCAAGTCTGAGGATATTCAATTTGACTTATTCCCTCCAGTGTAAGCTTTATTGCAATTCCAATTGCCTTAATGCTTACAACCTGCAAGATAGCATGAGAAACTTACACAGGATAAGCTCCTAGAAGATATAAATGTTTGAGTAATAGAAGTAACCATAATAATATAAGACTTCAGCAACAAAATGCCTTTAGTACTTTCTAGATTTGAGGAAAAGGATTTACCGTAAGTGAACCCATTAATGAACATATTCCCAAGTAGACTAATATGTTTGTCTGCCCATAGCGAGGTTCAAAACGCAAAATCAAAGCTAGCACGATTGATAATGCAGCTGCTACATAAATTAAAAATGCTGCTTACAAAAGTAGATAAGAAAATGATGAGTAATAGAAGTTTTCAAATTAAATCAAACAAAATATGAAAAAAGAATTTGAACCAAATAACCTGGTTGAGTTGCCAAAGTCCAGATTCCTTGTATAGAATTTGGAATATGCTCCTGGGGTGCATGTATTACAATCACCACTGACCCCACAATGCATGAAACACATCCCAGAACACCCATATGCCGCAAACGTTCCTTCAACATGAAGTGTGCCAAAAAAGCACTATTCAGATACATCAAGCCTGTTAGTTTTACAGAAAACATTCAGAGTTTTTGGCCAGTGCTTTAACCATAATAAACTCTCAAATTTACCTAACAATTATACTCAATGCACCAAGAGGGGTCACAAGAACTGCTGGAGCATAAACATAAGCCACGAAATTAGCAACTTCTCCAACAATCACTGCAATTCAGACAGTTCTAACACAATCAATAATCCATTTAACTACTAAAACTTTTTTTGTCTTGTTCTCTTCTTTTTTCATTATTTTCGGGTCTTATATATTGCTGTAGTTTTATAGGTAGGGTAAGACCGTAAGAGTATAACTCTACTCACTTGTCATCATGCCCGCCCACCAAAGTGGTTCTAGCAGGTAAGTGTAGCCTCCAACTCCTACAGTATCCAAAGATAAAATTGTGGTCACGTAAACAGAAAAAAAAAAAAAAAAGAAACAGATTCAGTACAGAGAATTCTTGAGTAAACAGGTTGACAAATTTTGAAGGGAAAAAGAAATCTGAACCATACTAGTGCATAATTTAATATCGTAATCTGGAAAAAAGGATCACAACATGTTGCACAAAAATGATTAACAATTACAAACCCAAGGCCCGATCAAATGAAACTTGAAAAGTGCCACTTCAATAACAAAGTGAGACAGCTTAAACAGAAGACGAGGACTGTATAAGGACAGACAAGGAGTCTTCATAACGCACATGGGAAAAAAGTGCTACCCAGTTGTCCAAAGAAGTTTAAGCTCTAGCTCAGTAAAAACAAACTCAACTGACTCATGGGGATGACAAAATGCCCTTTAAATTGCACAAACATGAAACATAGATGGGTATTTTTAGTCATACAGAACCTCATCAATCCTTGATCCATACAATGTACCTGTACTCCACCTGCATGGACCTTGAAAACCTACAGTATTTGACAATGCAGTCTGGTTGTGATATTAGAAATCTCTACAAAATATACCTGGCAAATATGTGATTTGTGGCCATTATAGTGTCATCTTATATCAGCCCAACCACCATAACAGTACAATTCTTCATGCAATTTCGGGAAAGAAAAAAGGGTGTTGATCAAGATACCGGCATCAGTTCAACTGTTTACTATTTGATTCAATAAGTTATTATCATGGTTTAAAGAATCGGCCGATACCGATACAAGTCGGCCGAGTCGTATCCATCTCGACACCTTCGGAGACGATACCGTTACACAAGACGTATAAACCCCCAGTCTCGTACAACTCGGCCGAGTTGTCCAAGTTATATCCAAGTCGCCAAAATATTGTCACCGAATTGATCGATATGGTTCCACAACACCGCGATGTGTCTTGAATTTCTCATCATGTTTAACATTTTCTTCTAAATCGTATCACTTGATGCCGCGATGCGGTGACTGATGTGTCTCAGAGCTTTTCGAGTTAATGGCCGATACCATGATATTAACCATGGTCATTATAGAGGGTGAGGTCATAAAGGGGGATGTTGAGGTTGTCGATAGATAAAACCACCTTCATTGAATATCTTATCATGTGGGATATGGAATAAATTCATTGTTTTTCAGGCTTTATAGTACATCATTCAATATATATCAAATAATTTATGGCAGTTTATGTGGTGTAAACTAAATAAGGCAGCAGGAAAAATGTTATGGTTTGGGTAGATAGAGTTTGCTTGTCATCTCAGTGTCACACCTCAAGCTAAAATAATATAAATCCAAGTTTTACTGGGAATGTCACAAGGCTAGTCAATGAAGCCACAAGGAGGCAACATAGTTTCCCTGGAGCAGCAGATTAGATCAGTGTTTATTGTTTGTACTTCAAAAGATTTTCAGTAGACTATGCAAAGGATTATATGGAGCTATGCAATGGACTTGATCTCCAACAGGAAAAATTAGTTGCTGCGTGGGTGTAACCCTCATATAGTTCAGTCATGCCAAGATTAGGCACAAGATTTTCCACCAATTGTGCTTTATTTGCATGGTTACATAATCAAAATACAATATGATTTGGCTACTTAATACCCACAGCTTACGAATAACAAGCACTCATTGTGACATTTATACAAATATCTGACCAAACCAAATGCATATGTACTAGTATCAAGTATAGTGGCACTGCTGCTCTCTCCACATATTTTACTTCAGTATATAAGAGCTTAACTCTATGTAACATTTTTTTTTCAAAAATAGGCTCAATTTAGTTAAACTGGTGTCCCAACCTGAAAGAGGTGAGAAATACTAGGGATTGAGAGTACTAAAAACAATCATACCTAATGTATTGAGGAGAATCATAACTAGAAACCACCATTTCCCATGAGGTCTCTCAATAATGATCTTTAATTTAAAAAGTTGGAAAAAAAAATTAGGATTTACCTCTTTTAATACCCTCAACTTATCAAAAGCATGGCACTAATGTGAGAGCCAGATTCAATTTCCTTAAGAAAATGATAATGTGGATTAGGTTAGAAAGGCAATCACAACAGACCAATCAGTCTAAGTTGTAGAGATCTAAGTGAGAGGATTGAATATTCAATTCGAACCTGCGCGAGTACCAGCAGAAGCAGCACGCTTGAGGCCTTTCTTCTTCAAGATGAAGCTTGCACCAATGAACAAGCTCGACAAGATCGCTAGAATTAACCCTCTGGTGTTGTCCGAAACCGCCATCTCTTTCCTGTACTAAATCTCAGTCTATGTACACAAACCAGTATCGAACTGCATATTCATATCAATCGATTAAGAATTTATCTGAACTTTCGTGTGCTCTCTCTCTCTCTCTCTCTCTCTCTCTCTCTAAGTTTATGGAGAGAGAAGACCTGATACAAGGACAAGCGCGATTTCCCGCCAAATCAACAGGAATGAAGAGGCTTGTTTCTTCCAGAAACAAGAGGACCAACAAGATTCACACGAATGTCGTCACTTCAATTGAGGTTGAATCCAGAGAGAGAGAGAGAGCTTTGTGTTGGAGGGAGGGAGATCTGAAACTCCCTCCAAATGGAGACAGAGAGGGAGAGAGAAGTCTCCAACAGTCCAACTCCAGGTCATCGTGTAGTCGGAAGCTTCCCCATTTCGCCAGTGCGGATGGATGCTGTGTAAGAATTCCATGTGTCGCGGCGTATTTTTAACGAATTTGTATCTTCATGTTGACACAGTCGCTTTCAAGATCAGAGAAGCTCTGCACTGGGGACCATGCTTACCAATAGAAAGACTTGTGTTAAAGCCGAATTCGAATTCAATTTAAAAAATTCAAGTGCATTTTAATTTGAATAATTTAATTGAAGTTGGATCATAACGATTTACACTTAAATTATAATTCAATTTTATTAGATAAATAAAATATGTTACAACAAATTGAATTCAAATTCATGTGTATTAATTGAATTTAAATTAGATTGAATCCTATTTAAAATTTTGATTATTGACAAAGTAAAACGACTGATTCACGATTGGGTTGTCCGAGTTTTAAAGACTCAACGTAAATTATTGAAATCGAGTTCAACTAGAATTCATGTCCGAGTTGTATAACTTATGATTCAAACCCGAATTTAGCCCAAAAATTATACCAAATTTTTATCTCAATTTTATTTCCCAAAAAATCAAGCCCAAGTTGAGGGCATAATAGGAACTTTAGCAATAAGAATGCCAATAATATTATCACAGAGCTCAGCAAAGGGTATCTACCGGAAGGAATCATCATCAGAGACCATGAAAGAGGGAGAAGGCTACGGTACATTCCAATGGATTTTTGGTACCGTACCGAAAATTTTAAATTACAATATTAGTGGTATGTTTATTAAATTTATGGTATATTTATATTAGTTGGTAGACAAGACATTGAAATGACAAAATAAAACATACCGCCTAACAACTATTAAGTCAATTGAGGGTAAAATTATAACATTAGTAGAAAATTTAAGACTATAATGAAAAAAATTATAACACTAGTGAAAATTTTACAACATTTATGAGAATATTTATCAAATTTGTGGGAATATTTATAACTTCAGTAGTATATTAACCAAATTTGTAGAAAAATTTACAACTTCAATGGTATGTTTACCAAATTTGTGAAAATCTTTACACCTTCAATGGATTCGTTATTAATCCATAATTGATCAAATATGATTTTAATCAATCAAATCTCCCCAACACATATCACTGAGTGGGAATATTTACAACTTCAGTGATATATTTATTAAATTTGTTGAAATATTTACAACTTCAATGGTATGTTTACCAAATTTGTGAAAATCTTTACAATTTTAATGAATTTATTACTAGTTCATAATCGATCAAATCTCCTCAACACATACTATTGAGGTTGTAATTATTCACATAAAAAATTCATTAAAGTCGTAAATATTTCCATAACGGTAGTAAATAAACCATTTAAGTTATATATCTTCTTTAATTAGTCATAAATTAAGCAAACATCTTTGTGTTTTGATCGATCGATCATATTTAATGATAGATCATGGAGTAGTAAATATCGTAAAAAATACTATTGAAGTTGTAAATATTCTCATAAAAGTAGTAAAATGATCAATTGAAGTTGTATATTTTGGATTAGTTGTAAAATTTTCATATATTAAGCACACCTGTGTGTTTTGATCGATCGATCATATATATTGATTGATCATGAACTAGTGATTCACTTTAATTACCAAATTTGTGAGAATATTTACCAAATTTGTGGAAATATTTACAACTTTAATAGTATATTTATCAAATTTGTGGTAATATTTACAACTTTAGTGGTATATTTACCAAATTTGTAAAAATATTTACAACTTCAGTAATATATTTATCAAATTTTATGGAAATATTTACAACTTTAGTAGTATATTTACCAATTTTCTGGAAGTGATTACAACTGTAATGGATTTCTTACCAGATTTATGACAATATTTACAACTTGAATAGATTTTTTACCAATATCATGATTCGATGTTTATTTACTACAAAACCCCCCTTACAACACTTCAATTAATTCCTCTTTGAGAGCATTTAAGTAAATACATAATAATTGATCTATCATATTTATTTTCGATTGATCGCAATCTCACTTGCCCTTCAACTTCTACATCCGTAACTCAATGATCGATCATTGAGTATATTTGATCGATCAAATTGTTGCAGACTGGGGACATCTGATATGTTTGATAGATTAAAAATATGTGTAAAAAATTTTAAAAAAATTTAAATCCAATTTTTTAAAAATTGAAAAAAAATCAAATTTTTTTCAAAATTGAGAAAAATCCAATTTTTTTAAAAAAAATTATTTACAAATTTGATTTTTTTTTAAAAAAAAAATTGGATTTTTCTCAATTTTTTTAAAAAAATTAATTTTTTTCTATTTTTAAAAAATAGGATTTAAATTTTTTTACCAAATTTGTTTTAAAATTTTTCCTATTTTTTAAATTTTTTTTAAAAAAATTAGATAAATCAATTAGTTGTAATTAAATTTGATCGATCAGAAAGATATATTGATCGATCAAATCGTTGGTAAGTAAATTCGATCAATCAAACATATATTTGATCGATCATATTATTGCTGATTTGTATTGTGAATTAGAAGTAAAAGCACTAGAAAGATTTGATCGATCAAAACTATATTTGATCGATAATGGATTAGTAATGAATCCATTGAAGTTGTAAAGATTTTCACAAATTTGGTAAACATACAACTGAAGTTGTAAATATTTTCACAAATTTGGTAAATATACTACTGAAGTTGTAAATATTCCCACTCAGTGGTATGTGTTGGGGAGATTTGATCGATCAAAACCATATTTGATCGATCATAGATTAGTAATGAATTCATTGAAGTTGTAAAAATTTTTACAAATTTGGTAATCATACTACTGAAATTGTAAATATTCCCACAAATGTTGTAAATTTTTCACTAATGTTGTAATTTTGTTCATTATAATTGTAAACTTCCCACTAATATTGTAATTTTGCCCTCAATTGACTTAATGACTGTTAAACGGTATGTCTTGTCTTGTTTAGCAACCGGTGTAAATATATCATAAATTTAATAAACATACCACTAATGTTGTAATTTAAAATTTTCGGCATGGTACCAAAAATCCATGGGGACAAAGTCAATCAAGGCAAGGCAGTGTCAGAGTCTTTCATTCAATCGCTGCATGATGGTTTATGCTCTAATGATTCGTTTGATACGATGAAAAAGTGAGAGGATAAGAAGTTTAAAGGATGAAAAGTTGGAAGGATAAATAAAACATTATGTTTGGTAAGGATGAAAAAGTGGATAAATTAATTTTTCTTCCAACTCATCAAAATCAATCCCTCTAAAATCGAAAGGAAAGTAGATGAAAAATTAATTATTTGTGTTGAAATGTATCTTATTTGTCTATATATCTTTTTATATAGGGTTAATCTCATTTTGCACCCCGAAAAGATTGTTCGAATCTCAATTTGCACCCTCAAAGATCAAAAATCTCAATTTACACTCTCAAAGATAGAAATTTGTATCAATGTGCACCCCCAAAGATCAAAAATCTCAATTTGCACCTTCAAAGATATAAATTTATATCAATGTGTACCCCAAAGATAAAAAATCTCAATTTGCACTCTCAAAGATAGAATTTTGTATCAATGTGCACCTAAAATTAAATTGATAAATTATACATAAATCCTCTCATATTTGTCAGTTAATCATTTAGACCTCTTCACATTTAGAATATTACTCCTACATCTTATGACATTTGTGCACGTATAACACGTAACCCATTTTCATTGATATGTATTAATATAACCGTTAAAAAATATAATTTTATCCTAATAAAAAATTATAATTTCATATTACTCTTTATTTTATAGGTTCAATATACTATAAAGTTCAAAATCTAGTTTACCATTTGAATGTCTAATAAAATATAAATATTTATATAATTTTTTTCATATTACCTTTTATATAAATATCTACATTTTATTAGACATTCAAATGGTAAGTTTGATTTTCAACTTTAGAGTATATCGAATCCACAAAATAAAAGGTAATATAAAATTATAATTTTATATTAGGATAAAATCATATTTTTTAACGATTATATTAATATATATCAACGAAAAGTGGTTATGTGTTACACATACATAAACGTCATGAGATGTAAGTGGAATATTCTAAATATGAAGGAGTTCAAATGATTAAGTGACAACACATGAGGAGATCAAGGTATAATTTATTAATTTAATTTTAGGTGCACATTGATACAAATTTCTATCTTTGAAGATGCAAATTGAGATTTTTTATCTTTGGGGATGAACATTGATACAAATTTCTATCTTTGAGGGTGCAAATTAAGATTTTTGATCTTTGGGGGTATACATTGATACAAATTTCTATCTTTGAGGGTGTAAATTAAGATTTTTGATCTTTAAGGGTGTAAATTGAGATTCGAACAATCTTTCGGAGTGCAAAATGAGATTAACCCTTTTATATATACATATATTAATTTCATATAAAAATACAATGGTAAAATATATATATATATATATATATATTAAAAAAATTTAAAAATCTATATAAAAAATTAAAATTTTAAATTTTAAAAATTAAAAAAATATAAAAAATATATTTTAAATTTAAAAAAAATATTTTTTTCATGTTAACTAAAGGTGAAAATTTTTGACTCAATACGATAACACGACTAGAACTCAATACGAAAATAAACATGTCAACTCGCAACTCGACACGATATAATTAGTTAAATGAATTAAGTTAAATTTAATTAATATTCGACACAAATCCGTAATGACTCCACGAATCTAACATGACACGATTCGATTGTAACCTCTAATCTTAACCAGCACAAAAAAAAAAAATAGTAATTTTTATTTTTCATCTATCCAACCAAACACAAAAGAAGGAAAATATATCTTTTATCCTTGAAGGATAGATAGTATATCCCTCATATTTTTCATTTTTTATATTTTTTATCCTCCCTATCAAACGGAGCATAAATCAGTAAGATGCAACGGTGAAAAGCAGAATTCTAAATCCCTCCGGTAATTGGGTTTGTTGTCCACCGAGTGAGTTAAGATTTGTTTTACTTTTAGATTGTAACTTCAATTCTATTTATTACTTGAATGTATATAAGTATTTTTTCAGTTAAAAAAAAAAAAAAACCTTATCCAATCTTTAAAAATCGAAATGCTGGTACGAATTACCAGATGAGGATTTCAAGAAATTGATCAAAGCATGGAAAACAAAGTTTGCGTGTGTATTCATGTCAAGAACCACGCAAGTTCACATAAAAAAGATTTAGAAAATTAGATATTACATTCATACACCAAGTACAATCTTAGATTTTTTATTATTAATTTGGTAATTTTGGTGGGCTAAAAGTTTTGAGGGTACCCTTCAGACTAGCTAATGGTTTGTTCCAGAAGACAACGTTTGATGAGTATTTTTATGTTTGTTCGAACGAGGTATTTCTAAGGTTTTTCTTTTTTTTTTTGGTCATAGGTATTTCTAAGGTTCAAAACTAGAATTTTTGCAACATTCACTAAACACTAGAAGCTCGATCGACCGAAGGAGTACAAAAGATTGGTTAACATGGAAGGACTTCAACGGTTTGTTTGGATAAATTTTAAAGAGGGATTTAGACCGATTTCTTCAAATCTTTACAAATTCAGATTCTTATTTGTAAAAATAGAATTTAATATTGAATCCAATTCATACTTCTATTTAGTATATAACATATATATATATAAGCCTCACAAATATATCATAATTATTAATAATTATTTATCTTATAAATGACTATTTTACTCTTAATCAATTCTATTCATAATTATGTTAAAGAGTATAATTATCTTTTAGATCCTTAACCCCTTGTCTGTCTTCCCAAACTCACTCCTCCCTACGTTTGACGAGACTTATGATTATAAGTTTAATTTTTGGGCTAATTACGATTGAATTTAAAAATTCAAGACTAAATTTTTTATACAAATATAAGATTTGATAAAATTTTAAACTATTTTTTCCAAATCCATCCGACTAAACCATCATACCCCCCTCGGCAAACAGCCCTCAAGGGTACCATTTGTGAGAGTGAATCGGAGCAAACTTGCTACTGATCGAGGATTCAATTCGGAGATCTCATGGATCACAAAAGGGTATAATTATACAGTAATTATAATTTTTTTTTAAAAAAATAAATTTCTATTTTTAATTTTATTTTAATAAATATCATAATATATCATAAATTTTAGTTACAATATTTAAAATATTTTATATTCTCTAAATATTAAATTTTAAACTTAAAAAGTCTAAACATTAGACATTTACAAAATTTAAGAAATTTAGACATACTTTACTAACGGATACAAATATCAAGAATGTTTGTGTAATATTTTAAACTAGTAATTGTCCGTGCTTTCACAAAAAATTAAATGAAAACTCAAAAAATATTACACTCTTTGCAACATAAAATAACTTGTTTATAGAACTTACAATTAGACATAACAATCATCATAATTCACCATACCACCATAATAATTAATACATACTCAATCATCAACACATATCCAACCACCAAAACATCAAGCTAGTCTCTACTAAGTCCAGGAAAATAATACTCATTTCAATCAAAATAACCCTAACATTCAATAGCAAACCTAATTTCCAATTCCAAAATCCTATGTTAAAAAATTAACATCCAATTTAATACAATTAAAAACTATAACATTCAATAAAAATACTATTATAAAAACCCTATGAAAAATACCAATTTAAAAAACAAACTATACAACCTTAATACAACCATTTACACATTACTAAACAAAGAGCCAAATCAAATAGTGCTCCAACATATGTAATTAACAACACTAATCCAAAACCCACAACAAACACAACATTCTACCCTTGACCAAATCAAGTTTAACGAAAACAGTAAAAAAAACAAATGCATTCCACACAAATGTACGGCTGCCACATGGAGTATCCCAACTTGATTTTCATCAAAAAAGAGTATGTGCATACTGTTCGGTTAAAAACTAAACTAAAAATCTGAAGTCATGTATCAAATATTCCCAATTGATAACAACAAAAAATGGGTTAAGTGGGTAGTTTCTAGATCATCGCCCCACTTGGCAGAATAGTGGGGCTGTTAGAAGACCCACTAACTAAAAATCTCCTACTAATGGAAAAATGTTGACAGATAATGTATCAAATCTGCTACTAAATCCCACTAAATAAGTCTCCATAGCACCTCATTCAATTTAAAGAGGAGAGAGGGCAGGAGTTAAAGGAGGTGGCGGTAAAAGAAGAGAAGCAGAGCAAAGAGGAGGGACGAAGGACGAAGGACGAAGGACGAACGAAGGCCAAAGAGGACGAGCGGTTTCTAGTGGGAAAGAAAGGAAAGCAGAAGAAAAACAAAGCCATATCATTCCACAATGATATATATGATAAAAACGATATATGCAGTTAACCCACATCATTGGTGAAAGAAACGATATATGCAGTTAACCCACATCATTGGTGAAAGGGAGGTACTCGGATTGAGCTATCTTCTGGCCTAGGGTTCAATGCGAAGTTATGGTTTGCATATGCCATGTGTATGCGAGAAGGCAAAGCGAGTGAAAGGGGCAAAGAGAGAGAGAGCTGTAGGACGATCAGTGTGATGGACAATACGTAGAGAGGCCAAAGAACAACAGTTCTTGTCAATGGAAGATCGAAGGATGATCTGTTATGGACAAAGAATAACCGTTCTTGACAAAATCGGTGGTCGCTGTGAAGGAAGATCTGTGTGATGGACGATCTTTTCGAACAACTGTAAGGGGTTTGAATAGAGTGCCTGGGTGGGTAGCGTATAGGTGTTAGGTACCATTTGGGCAGTACTTTTTTTTTGTTGAGTCATAAGCCATGGCAAAGGAGTGAGAGGTGACCGGTGAGCAGTAGCCGTGTAAGGGTAGCCACGGCAGAGGAGAGGAGAGAGAGACAGAGAAAAGACGTGTAAGGCGTTTGGATAGAGTGCAGGGGTTGATGGCGTGTAGGTGTTCGATTCCAATTGGGCGGAATTTTTTCTTTTGGGAGAGATAAATGGGGTTCATTAGATTCAATTGAAAGAATTAGATAAAATTCAGACTGTTGAGTTAAAATTAGAATTTACTTGTGCTTTCCTAAATAAATTTAAATTAAATTAAATTTTAAAGTGAAAAAAGATTTAAATTAGGTTTTATTCGGGGATGGGAGAATAATTCTCCCAAAAAAACTAAGAATGATCATGAATGTTCATACATCAACAGCACTTTATGTATCATGGTCTCCATCATTCAAAAACATTCAATGATTTCATCTAAAGAAACAAAAATTAAAGCCAATCCATCCATCAATAAAATGTAAACCAATTCTATTCAAAAAAATCAACCCCAACCCCTGTTTGGTTGCTAAGAAATTAATGGGACAAAAAAAAAAAAGGAACTCTTAAGCTCCCTTTTCCCACAGTTTCCAGACAATTCCAGGATATATAAACCTCAATGAAGAGTAAAAAGCTTACAAAAAATTAGGATCCGCTTATTTATAACAGAAATCTATTCAGTAATCGAGTTCTTTTATTTAATGGTAGATCAATTATGGTTATACATAAAAGTCACCATAGAACAATCCGAACAGCTAAAGCACCACCACAGTCAAAACCCAACACTGAATAAAAGAGTACGATACTGGAAACCCTAAATAAGTTCACAAGTGTTCAGAAACGAAGCAGATAAAGATAGATAACACACTCAATATATAGACCAGATCTCAGATCTAGGAAAGTTGACCACAGTCAGCGACGGTCACAGTTTTGGAAGTACTTCCAGATCTCGATCCAACCTTCTCGATCGCCTTCACCACGTCCAGTCCCTCCACAACTTGTCCAAACACCACATGCTTCCCATCGAGCCACGAGGTTTGAGCGGTACATATGAAGAACTGCGATCCATTAGTTCCAGGACCAGCATTGGCCATGGATAACACACCAGGACCGGTGTGCTTCTTGATGAAGTTCTCATCAGCGAACTTCGATCCATAGATCGACTCGCCGCCGGTGCCATTTCCGGCGGTGAAGTCACCTCCCTGGCACATGAAATCAGGGATCACACGGTGGAATTTCGATCCCTTGTAGTGTAGAGGCTTGCCGGCTTTTCCAACACCTTTCTCCCCGGTGCAAAGGGCACGGAAGTTCTCGGCCGTTCTCGGAACAACATCGGCGTAGAGCTCCATCACGATACGGCCGGCCGGTGCACCGCCGATCGCCATATCGAAGAAAACCTTAGGATTCACCATTTCTCTCTCACTCACTGGTGTGTGTACGACTTTGACGAAAGTGTGTGCTTAGGGTTTAAGCCAAGGATAAGAATTTATATAGGGGTTTGTTAGGGTGTAATTATCCATGAAAAGTTGATCGTGGCCGTTGAGTATGAACGCGTGTCTGAATTCTAGGATGAATTGATTGTCATATGAAAAAGACTTTGACCATGGTTAGTTATGTTTTAACTGTGATTAACTTTATGGATGAAGAATAGATTTGAATAATTGGATCACGTCGTCGTATATGCTTTTTCATTACTCGCCAAAATTGCGAGCGGCCACGTGGTCACAAATAATACCATTGTAATAATTAAAATAACTTTTATTTTAAGTTAAAATATAATAAAGATCTTTTGAATATGCATATTATGTTTCACCCAAATTGATGGTCTAATAATAAATTATACTTATTATTATCCTTACCGTTTATTTAATTTTTGTTTGATCATATCTTTTCGGGTTAATAACTCTAATTTAAATCTAACATTCCATAATAAGAAAATCCTCATAATTACACCTCTTGATTGTCCCATCTCTTTTTTTGCTTTAAAAAAAAATATGCATATTATATTACTTTAATTTTTAAGAGAATCGGAATTCCTACTTTAAAATTTTTTTAAAAAATTATTTTGTACCTTTTAAAAATTAAAATTTTTATATTACTCCTTTAATTTATTAAAAGTATTACAATATAACTTTTTTGTTAAAAAATATCTACATATATATATATATATATATTGATGAAATAAACAATGAAAACTAAAATAAAAGCTACATTACAACACTTCCAATTATAGAGAATGTAATGTTGGCGCACCTACCAAAAATGAATGAAGAAAGAAGACATTAACATTAGAAATGTTACAAATTCGTCCCGAGCCAACTACAATGAAATTCAAAAAAAACTATTACCCTACTTTACCCTTCGTGCCATTTGAAAAGATCAAAGAAAAAAAACAGATAAACATCATTACTTTTCAACCATGTTAGCCTTTTCTCACTCTTTCCCTCTAGAGGGGAAAAGATACAAATTTATACACATCTTGACTACCTTATAGCTAAGGTATTTGTGGAATACAAATAGATCAAACTAGGTATCATTCTAAGCTAAAGTTTTGAGTTTCAACCTCTTAAAGGAAGATGGATTTGAGACCAACATTCTAGAATCAAGCTGAAATTAAGGGCAGTGATTTGGTTGACAGACCCACATAGGCTATCAACGGATCACATTTGAATTGAATTCTGACTGATCCAAATCTAAATTCAATTTCAAAAGTACAATCCTATTCCAATTTCAAAAGTTCAGGTGTTATTTTTCATTTGGTCATACAAAATTTCCTCCGATTATAATTAAGCCCTCAGCGTCTCGTCTTAAAAGTCCGAAGCAAGGTTTATATACATACAATTCACAATAAGCCTTCAGTCTCTACCAATTCAGGATATAAAAACGATATTATCCGTTTTAAGGTCTTCACCGAGTCTTTCAAGATTGCATGTCCCGTGGTTGCTGCCAAAATTGAAGCAACAACGCAGTTAGAAAAAACTCTTTCAAGGCCACACAGACTGGAAATTAAGACTTGAATGGTTTGAAGCATGACAGAAATGATGATTACCCTCTTAAAAACTTCTCGAGTTCCTTTGAGAAATCTTCGACACGTCCCAGAACAGGTCTTATTCCACAAATTTGTGACACACAAAATTCCAAGTATAGAGCCATTACTGTTATTTGCAGCGGTAAGATACATACTCCCAGTTTTTCAGTTGAAACTTGCCTAAATTTGTTGGCCTCACACAATTCAGTGACCATAACAATCCCTTGATCCTGCATCCAAGGATAAAAACAAGCCAATTTAATCCTAGCAATTGAATTTTAATCCAAAATGGCAAGAAGAACATCCCCCATGATCTTCAACTTCATGTTTCCTATACATTATTCTAATCGGATACATTTAAAGTTTGACTACTTCAGAGTATTGTTGATGGTGACCCAAAATGGGAACATCAAACTCTGGAGTGCAGATTATTTTCAAACATCAGGCATACCATACCGTGAAAGTGTTTTGTGATAAAAACAAAGAACAATTGTAGTTGTTTTACCTGCAAGCCATGCAAGATATTAGGCATTGGAGGTTCCGGAAAATGAGCAAGGTCAACAAAACCCACTGCCTCAGCCCTTTTAGCAGCATCTTCACCTTGTAACAAAGAAATTTTAAAAGAAGAAATGCAATTCTGTACATCTGTATTGCCATAGTGTCCGAGAAATATGTTTGAGGAGCTGGCTGAGTTACCAGTAGCCTGGTTCTTGATCACTAGAGCAGTTGTTTGAGATGATAAAGCAGAAAACTTAGGATTAAGCCCGCAACCAAAAGCAGAAAGAGCAAACCAGCCATTTCTGCTCTCAATAAATGATGGCTTCTTGTACCACTCAAACTCCTCTTTCAGGATTGGATGGCACAACATTGATGTAATCCGGTTGGGAGATTCTCCAAGATGTTGGACACCCCGGCTAATGAAGGCGAATTCTTTTCTTTCATGACCTTAATCCAAGAATTGCGCTGTTTTACTAGCACACAAATTAGAAAGAGGGTATGTTCTGTTTCTTTAAGAGCATTCAGAGATGTTGGTGTTTTCGGAGCACCAGCTCTTTTCTTGTCATGATCATCAGATGGAAAGTCTAGTGCATTTAGATAATAATAAATCACGTCAGATTTCTCCAAAAAGAAGTAAGCCATCACATGATCCACGACACCTGTACCAGAAAAACTGCCTCCCAAAGAATGAATCATTGCTGTGACTACAGCCAAGCCAAGTCCCCAAATGCACCGAGACTTTTCAATTTTTTCAGAAGAGTTGGAAAGACTCCTCTCACTTTGAATCACCGATAAAGATCTATCATCTGATACTCCATCAAACAACACTCTGAAAGATGCAAAGAAACCAGCATAAAGAAGCATCTCAGCCCCCTCTCTCGACTGCGCAAGTGTCAAAAGAAACTTCAAAATTACAGGAACAGATGGCATATGAATTCGGAACTTGAAGCATCTGAACAAAATGCTGCAACTGGATATGTTTGTGCACGATAGGGAACCAAGTAGCAGGTTTTTCAATATTAAGTCAATAGTAGTCAGGGATAGGGGTACAGTTGTCAGCCGGTTCAATACAGTTGCAAAGAATGGGTAATAGCCCCAAACTTGCATTAGTTGCCTCGGCAACGACTTCAACAGATTCCATCTGAGTCACCTCATCTGAACCTGAATTCAATCTAATCAACTCAACTGACAAGAGGAGCAACACAAGTAAAACCCTTATTGTTGTTCTGCCACCAACAACTCCTGGCCTGAAGCCACTCAACACTTTGAGGCCATAACCCGAGGTTTTCCAGATGTGCACACTAGCAGGTAAGGACAACCTTTTGTATAGGGAGATAATAAGATGGAGTAGTAGTTCTGCTTGAGCAGCAAGGAAATCAAGGATGTCTTCACTAGCATGAGGAACTGGAGCTAATAATTCTTTAGTGGCATGGAGACACTGGCATGTATGATCGATGCTTGACAATATTAGGTGCTCAGGAATCTTCCCATCAACTGTACCCTTCTTCTCAATTGACTGCATGAGCAGGTAACATCAAGTACACACAGAAATGTAGTTCAATTTTAATTATTGAAAGTTTGCACACCATGTATCTAAAGGAAATAAGGCCACACATTTGCCTACATCCTTCACATACACTGCATCGATGTTTTGGGCAGGTTCTTCATGATGATTGCACATGACACGGGTTATTATCAACATTACTATTACAGTGATAGTTGCTCATAAAAGTTTTATAATCTCAAAAAAAAAATTGTATAGTTGATGTTTTGATGAATAAGAATCAATAGATATCAACATTTCATAAAATTTTCAAGATCACTCCCACATTAACAAAGTAATCACATATTCCAAACATTCAGATTAACATGGATTCATAATGGTAAGGGTATTATGATGGAGGTAAATAGAAATAAGGGAAAGAAAGTTTTTAAACATAAGGAGGTATTGAAAGAAGTGGAGGTTGGAAATAGTTTCAATATTCTTGGAGAGCAGCAGGAACAGGTTCAAGGTTTGAATGTGGTAGTAGGTGAATGCTCCATGGGAAATATGGATGCTATTTTTCAGAGGAAGGATGTGAATAATGAAGTGAGTGGGAATATAGAAATTGATTCTGGTGGAGGGGGCAGAAATGATGATTTGTTGATGAGTTTGAATGAGGATGCAGGAGGTACTAAAGAGAATGCTGAGAATGGGGAAGGAGAATACAACGGAAAGGGAGGTTTCTAAGGAAGGTGAATGAAAAGGAAGTTCCTGTCGGTGATATTAGTAAGCGATTTTCTCCATCTGCTGATTCTTCCTTTTGGGTGAACAATGAATATCGTGCTCATGGAAAACGCTCTTTCTCTTTAGATGATGAGAATGGTTTGGTGAGGAATAAAGAACCTCCTGATAAGGGGTTCTGCTCTGATGAGGAGAGTTCTATGAAAGGGGCAGATCTCTCTGACAGTATGGAAGGCATTGAAGAGCCTTTGGTTGATCAAGAGGTTGCTAACTCTACTGATTCCAGTCCTAGGCAGACGCCTAGAGGTAATCTATCTATCTCTACCTTTTAATGAATTTCATGCTATGGAATGTGAGGGGAGCTAGGAAAGATGCACTGAGAAGCAGGTTAAAGAAGTTAATATACATGAATAAGATTGCTTTTTTGGCTGTCTTAGAACCAAAGGTGGGATCTTCTGAAATTAGAGGATTTGCATCTAGTGTGGGCTTATCTTCTTTTGTGGTTAATTCTCTTGCTGAGAAGTATATATGGTTGTTATGGAGTGAAAGGATGGAGGTAAAAGTGGTTATGGTATATGAACAGTCGTTAACAGTGACTGTTTCTCATTTGGGTTCCCGTCGTGTGTTAATTACTGTTGTCTATGCTTGTTGTGATCATGTGTTGAGGAGGCCACTATGGCATCATTTACATTTGGTTGCTGCTTCTTTTGATTTGCCTTGGTTAGTGATGGTAGATTTCAATACTGTGCTTGGACAAATTTGGCACCTCATACAAGCACTGATCCTTTCCAAATAACATAGGATCCAGAAAACAGAACAACAGTAAAATGTAAGCCAATCCATCCATCAATAAAATGTAAGCCAATTCTATTCAAAAAAATCAACCCCAACCCCAACCCCTGTTTGGTTGCTAAGAAATTAATGGGAAAAAAAAAGAACTCTTAAGCTCCCTTTTCCCACAGTTTCCAGACAATTCCAGGATATATAAACCTCAATGAAGAGTAAAAAAGGTTACAAAACAACAAGGATCCGCTTATTTATAACAGAAATCTATTCAGTAATCGAGTTCTTTTATTTAATGGTAGATCAATTATGGTGACACATAAAAGTCACCATAGAACAATCCGAACAGCTAAAGCACCACCACGGTAAAAAGCCAACACTGAATAAAAGAGTAAGCTACTGGAAACCCTAAACAAGTTCACAGGTATTCAGAAACGAAGCAGAGAAAGATAGATAACACACTCAATATATAGACCAGATCTCAGATCTAGCTAAGTTGACCACAGTCAGCTATGGTCACAGTCTTGGAAGTACTTCCAGAACTCGATCCAACCTTCTCGATCGCCTTCACCACGTCCATTCCCTCCACAACTTGTCCAAACACTACATACTTCCCATCGAGCCACGGGGTTTGGGTGGTACAGACGAAGAACTGCGATCCATTAGTTCCAGGACCAGCATTGGCCATGGATAACACACCAGGACCGGTGTGCTTCTTGATGAAGTTCTCATCAGCGAACTTCGATCCATAGATAGACTCGCCGCCGGTGCCATTTCCAGTGGTGAAGTCACCTCCCTGGCACATGAAACCAGGGACCACATGGTGGAATTTCGATCCCTTGTAGTGCAGAGGATTGCCGTATATTCCAACGCCTTTCTCCCCGGTGCAGAGGGCACGGAAGTTCTCGGCCGTTTTCGGAACAACATCGGCGTAGAGCTCCATCACGATAAGGCCGGCCGGTGCACCGCCGATCGTCATATCGAAGAAGACCTTGGGGTTCACCGTTTCTCTCTTGTGTTCGATTTTGAAGTAAGTGTCAACATCGGGTCAGACTTCCATCTCGATATGGCCGGTCGTTGGACGGACGATCGCCAAATCGATGAAGACCTTGGGTTTGCCATTTCTCTCTCACTCACTGGTGTGTGTACGATTTTGATGAAAGTGTGTGCTTAGGGTTTAAGCGTTGGATAAGAAGTTATACAGGGTGTGTTTGGGTAACAGGGTGGTGTGTTTGGGTAACGGGGTTGAATAGGATAGGATATAATTTTTTTTTTTATATCCTAATTCCACTCATTTACTTTAAATATCTAATTCAAGCTTATATCCAATCCTAATTATTATTTGAAAAACAAATGTATAATTCGGTGAATCCCATATATTACACAAATAATTTTGTATTAGTTTACTATTCTACCCGTGACTCTATCAATTTCAATCCAAACCAATTTTATCCTATATTTGGTTAACCTATCCAAGTCCAATAAAATTATACATTTTTCACATATACATAAAAACATATAAAAATAAGGAAAGTTAAATATATATATATATATATATATATATATATATATATATATATATATATATTTGTTTTGGTATTTTTTTTTCAAACAAATCAACACTTTATTTCATTCCTTAAAAATTGATTCTAATGGGAGAAAGACAAACAACTTTGTCTTAAAACAATACGATAGAACAACCAAAGAACAAATTGTTCCGAAAAAAATACAATAAATGGCATAAAATTGTTTTACACTATATATTCCTGCATCTTAGTCTCCTCACAGAAGCAGCCTGCCAGACAATGGCAGAATGCCATTTGCTGAAAAATCAGTATCTGTGTCAGTTTGGACAGCAAATGAGGCAAGAAAATCAGCGATCACATTCGCCTACCTGTATATATGCCTCAGCTGATACTGCAATCTGCCAAGCAGCTTCCAGATCTGCTCCTTAGTCTTCTCTGTCCAAGCTCCACATGAACAACCCTGCTGGAGTTGAGTGGGTAATTTAGTCCAAGAGAAGATGAAGACTTGCATGTGATCCCAACCCAATTGCAGCAATTGGAAGATGAATCAGTGTCCCACCCACCAATAGGTGATTCCACAGCACTCACGAAATCCCTCAATGCCTTCAAGTCATTTGAACTGCACGTGAAGTTCTGAGAATTCAGAACTTGAGCTTGTAAACAAAAGCCAAGAACAATCAAGACCACCCAAAACTCCAGTATACCCATTTCAGCAAACAACAAAAGAATTTACAAACTAAAGAATTTACCAGCAAGACTAAAGTCAGGTTCCAGTAAAGCCAATGAGGTAAACCTTTTTCTTAATGATCAAACCACATACCAGCAAGACAACAAAAGAATTTACAAACTAAATGATGGGTTTGTTCCACAGAATTAGAATGGTTCAAAGATGAACAATCAGAGCTAACGGGAAATGAAAATATTACCTGTTTCCACAAAGAGATATATAATGCTTTTCAGTCTCCAAGGAACCATGCTCTTCCCCAAAACCATTTGAACTAATACCTGAGAATCAAATTCAATCAAATACAACCTTGAGCACAAATTAAGAACATGGCAAACGAATGAAAAGGAAACCATTCAATCTTTGGAAACCATTAAACCAAGACTGTTCCCAACAATTCAAACTCATTGCCAATGGGAAATTAGACCAACCATTTTTACTAGGGAATAACATATACAAACTGAAAACATTGACAGTCCATATTATTCCAGTCAACCCAAAATATCATGTACAAAATCAAGGTATATGTCAAAATACATTAGAATCAAATATGTATACCAGGCCACCATGTTGCTTCAATGGTGTGATAGCAATGCCAAGTGGATAAACTTGCATGAAGACAAACCACATTTTGAAATGAAGAAATATATCATTTCACCAGTAAACTTGATGAAGGAAAGCCAAGTTAAATCAATTCTACTTTTGCAAACTCTAGAAGGTAAATTTTGATTACCCAACAACAACAGAAGCTACATTGAAGGGTAATAAATTCAAGGCTTCTTAGAGTCACCAAAAGAATACTAAATTCTAATGCCCTGGGTCCTGAGTGTTTATTCACCTTAAATTTCTTCATAAAACTAGTGCACTGCAATCATTACATTTTATAGTTTCCTCATGTGAAGGTATCTTTAGTTTGAACACATATATTGGTGCTCAAACACAAACACTTACACAAAGGATTGACAATTTCAATTAAAAATATTAAAACTTTTGGGTATAAAAACAAGGTACAATATAACTCAGGATAATATTGCATAAACTAAGCACGAAATATAGCAGTTAAATGAACTTCAAAATGGAGAGTCAATGGATATGTTGCAAATACTGAATGCATTATATATGGTGCATGTTGTGCTTGAGCGACCCCAATGAGTATCTCCTCATTGTATCGCTTTGAAAATTAAGCAACATACGACATTCTTATTTGACTTCCACGTATGACACGCCACACTCACCAAAAAAAATTGACATTATGAGTAATCTCAATAATCAGAAACCTTCTCAAACAATACAGTTGCAAACAATCCATGTATAGTAAACGGTAATATGATGTGTAGAAAAATAGGAAAGGAATTTTTACCTGAGATGCATGATGGAAGATCCCTGAGTTGGTTTATCTGATTCATGTTCAAGAAGGTGGACCGCTCATAGCTGCCCTATCAGATTCCCAATCAGCAAATGAGTCCTCATTCAATGTTGGAGTTTCATATCTTCCATCAACAAACTCACAGGCATCAGAGTTTCTTTGTGGCACTTCAACAAATGATGATGAAGCATTATTTTCCGTAAAAGTCGACCCAGAATTGCTTTTGCTGTTGCAAATAGGTGAATTGTTTGAATTCAAGCTCTTTGCCTCAGCCTCAAAACCTCTCCATCTTTGTACAAGGGTAGAAACACCACCCAAATGAGGAATTTCAATAGGACCATTTGACTGAACAAGAGACAAAGAACGATCAAAAACTTTCAATTTTCTATGATTATTGTTGCTGTTGTTGCTGGCATTGGAGCAGTGTAAATTTAAATGATCGTTATTCTGTTCGCGAACCCAGAAATCGGCAGTTTAGGATTGTCATTGGACTCGGAATTAGAGTTTGTGGGTGAACCTGAAATGCAGGAATGGAGGCGGTTTTGGACCAATTCTTTGCTCGTACTGAGAGAGAGTCCATGAGAGTGAAGAGAGAGCCGAGAAGAAGAAGCTCACCTCGATTGCAATCTACGATCGCCTGTGACCTGCTTGGACAAAAGTGAAGGATCTTTCGGTAGGGTGTAGCAAAATATCTGAGAAAGAGGGAGGGTAAGCCCGTCTTTTTACCTGGTTAACCTGGTGGGTGGGATTATAACCTAGGGGGTGGGTGGGTTACAGTTAACCCATGTATATTGGATAATTTTTACTGTAGCATCCGGGTCAAAGTTTGACCCGGATTCACAACCTTTCTTACTTTTCAATTGCCAAACAATAGATGTATGGACCCACTTCATTTTTATGCTATCTCTATGGCTCTTAACCTACCTTGACTGCACGGGATAATTCCTGTAATCTTGTAAGGTAGCGATCCCTTGATTAGCGAACTTGAAAAGACGGGGTTAGAAGAAAGGGGGCCAGGCGTGAGCCCGGCGGATCCCCTCCGAAGCTTAAGTCAGTAAGATCGAAGGGTTGTTTCTTAGTAGATGTACTCTGGTTTGATTTTGCGTACCTTTGTCTATTTTTCTGAGAAATATTTATACCTGAATTAGCAATGATTGCTCTAGATCTTCAGTCTCATCTGGACATTTCACATCTGACACACTATCCCTCGTGCTGTGAATGCTTCCCCTTTACGCCTCCTCCAATTGAATGCTAGGGGAATGTTGTAAATGCTCGGCCATTTATACTATGAGTCGAGCAGCCCAATCCAAGAGGTTGGCGTCTGACACCGACAGAGCACGGACTACTCGGCGAATCAGGGAACTCAGGAGAACCAATCGTGTTGTTTCGGCGTATCAGTCATTAATGTTTCAGTCATCATGTCAGTAGGTATAGACTTGCAGAGAGCAGTTGGCTGCAGCCTCGCATTTATTTGTCCTGTTACCATCACTCATTTCGCCATAAATGCGAGGTTATATCGCTTTGATTATGGTGACAACTGTTGTACTCGGCCGCTCTGTGTCGCCATGCCTCGGCTCACTCCCTCGGCATCTTCCAGACATCCTAATGACTTTATTGGGCCACGTGTCACCCTGGGGGTTGAGGATCCATACAGGAGTCCCGCCAACTGCCCCCCAGCCACAATCCCTTATGTGGCGCTCGACAAGTGGAGTGAAGGGATTGGGGTTCTATCACCATGCCTCATTAATGGCGACGGTTACTTGCACGTCTGGTGCCGCCCTTTTCAAATGCCCTAATGATGAGTCAACTCCTTTATTCTCGCTCCTTGTGAGGCACTATAAATAGGGGGTTTTCTCTGCTTTCTTAAAACTTTTGCATCCTCCATCTCTCCTCAGTAATTAGACCCCGAGTGTTCTCCTGTCCTCCAAACTCTCTCCAAAGACCAACCTCTTGTAAGTACTTCCACTTGAGCTTTTTCTCTCTTCATTTCTTCTACATTTCGCCCTATTAGCTTCCACCGATGGCCAAAACTAGTAGAACTAGGGGGGAAACGTCTGTTAGGGTCAATACTACCCACAAAATGAGGAGAACCCAAGTAACAGACGGGAACATCCACACCTTTAGGGTCAGGTACCATATTCGTGAGTCTGTCTTCACCTTCCCCTTCAAACCTACTCGTCATAAGAGGGACATGGGAAGTGAGGACATGATGTCTTTCTGGATGAAGGTCATCATGGAAGGAAGGTTGACATTTTCCCTCCATGCCCTGTTGCTAGGAGTCCTGATGCAATTGAAGCTTTTTCCCCTTCAATGCGGGGTTAACTTCTTTAGAATTGTGATGGGCGTAGTCGCCTTAAACACTCGGCTTGGGACTGACTTGGGGGTAAACGAAATTTTATTCTACTATGACCTAAGGCTAGTCGTCGGGGGATGATATTACCTCCAATCCCAAGATCCCTCGATGTATCTGGTAACCCACATGCCTGACTTAGACAAGGGGTATGTGGATGATCTGATCATGCTCAGCGGCAGTTGGGAGAAAGGGACCGGGTCCGAGTATGACGGATTGTACTGCCCCAAAGTGCCGAGGGATAAAGGTGTGTTTTCGTTTCGACTTTATGATTTACATCTTTTTAGGTCCGAGGGACATACTGATTTTTGCTCTATTTTTGCAGAAGGATATCGCCAGGACGCTGCTCAACTGCTGAGGTCTCAAGTCCGGTTCGTTGATCTGCTAAAGGTTTGGTCCTCGGACCCGATTGAACGAGCGGCGCATACCCTCCTCGGCTATATGCCAACCTATAGTTGGTCTCCCAGATCCCTCCTCCTTTCAACCCTTCCGTTTGGGAAAATCACTCATCGTCGAAAGAGGAAGAATCCGAGGGTGGTTCAGAAGAGGAGTCTTCGCATAATGCTACCGAGTCTCCTACACCCGACATGTTTAATCCACCACCCATTACCGCAGCAACCATGGAGGTCGTCGCCTTGACAAGGAGAGCCAGGCTCGCAGGCTTGGCCGGGCCTTCCAATCCTGCTCCCATCATTCCTCAACCTCGTCCTCCTCAGAAGCAGCCGCTGCCGTTGGGTGCACCACCCAAGGATTCGGTCATGCCGATCAGGCAGAGGACCCAATCTCAACAAGTCCAAACTCCAGTAGACTGGCTGAGGGACAGCGTGCCCGGGATGTCGAACAACATGAAGAGTGTCGTGTAAAGCAGCGACATGATGTCGCGGCCCTGGGGCCCTTTGTCTCGGGCAAGTGGGTTGGTCGGGCTGAGACCAAAAGCGACCGGCCTGTTTTGGAAGTTGACTCAATCTTCCAATCTCCCGAAGTGGCCTTTGCAGTCGCGGGGACACTTTAGTTCGAGGCCGACATGGCCGTGTACAAAGGTTACTTGGACAATCGGCTCCTAATGAGCACCATCCAAAATAACTTGGTGGTAAGTTCATCGCCTCCCCGAGTAGTTATTCCCCCTTGGTCATTTACTAATATTCCTCCTCTTCCAGGCTAGCCAGCAGGTGAGAGCCATCATTGAACACTTTTGGGAATACAAGCAAGAGGCGAAGAATGCAGAGCGAGCCGCGGCCGCCAAGGACGACCACATTTTGAAGGTCGAG